GAGACGCATCAAATAAATAAACACTACTATTGGGTCAATGCCCTGACTCATAGTGACCCTATCAGACAAGGTAGAGCTGCCTTTTGAGTTATTGAGGCTGTAACTCTTCATGGAAGTAGAGAGGCTCATCGTTCTCTAGAGGAACAGCTGGTGCCGATGGTTCCAAACTGCTTCCCTGGCAGTTAGCAGCCCAATGTGTAACCGCCCTGCCACCGGGGCTTCTCCTTAGATACAGGCAGTTCTGAAATCTCTGCACAACTCTGGCCATCCTCACCACCGGCCGTGAGGTCTAGGAGTCCTGTGCGGACAGAGGGTGGAACCACTGTGATCCGCTCTGCGCTAAGAAGGCTTCCGCTGATATCCACAGGCCAAGCGATGAGGACCAGGCATTCCTTGAGGCACAGAAGGTTTGCACTTTCATTCACACCCCGGCCACCTTCACTACTTCTCTCGGAGGTGCAGGAAACCTGCGCCTGCTCTACTCTGATTCATCCTGCAAGTTCAATGGTCACCATGTGTTTTCTCGCTGCCACACTGCTGGCTGGAGAAACAAGACCCCCCTCTCTCCACCCCTGCCACTCTGGCTACACCTACACCTGTGACAATAATTCAGGCGATCTGAGTGTCCTCCTCCAGCATCCACCCAACTTCAATGTTGCACATCCTCCACCCAGTTTCTGCAAGCCTTCCTTCCTTGCAATGGAATCCCTTGCTACTCCATCACCTATTGAGACTCCAACTTATGCACAGCAGACCTACCCAATCCTTTTGGATGGCACTCCCGCCCAGTGGATACAGAGACTACCCTGCATGATTTCTGGGGTTGGCATCAACTTTGAGCACTATCCCGGAAGGTGCCTATGATTTCACGATGGGCGTGCAGGCACCCTGACCACCCAACACTTGTCATCTACTATCAGGGGAAGAGCCTATTTTCTCATCTCCACTTAGCCTGTTGAGGGAACACGAGTGGGTCTAACCCATTTGGAGAATTCACACATGGGTGAAACCCACCACATCCACTACTGAATGAAAATCCCACAGCCAACTGCACACTTCTAAAGTCACACATGATCAAAACCACAACACCACCACGACTAAAATAACACAAGTGAAGAATGACACTTTATGTTTCCTTCATAGTTGACAGTTTGGCTGGATAGAGGATTCTTGGTTAACATGGAAGACATTTCAAACGGAATGAGAAGAAACAAAGCTCCAAATAATTTTTTTTTTTAAAATGTTAACTACTATATAAGAAACATATATATATATAATCACTAAAACATATAAATGTATTAATCAATAGCACAACTAAAATCATAGGAACAAAGTAAGATGGCTTAAGCAAGTTGGCAAAAAAGAAGGGCAGAAAACCTTTCTGGTTAAGAAATGGTAATATCACTACCTGAGCCCGAGTTCAAAGGACATATATGAGATCTTCAGAGAGCAAGGGAAATAGAGACAAAAACCTGGAGGAATTCAAAGAAATAATTCAAGAACAAAATGATGACATAAATTAACAATGAGAGTCTATCTAGTGACAACAACAGTTTACCCTGATTATTAGCTCAAAATAAGCACATAGTAGTTGAATGGAATCAATTGAAAAATAAAAAGCAATTCTAATTTGTATGAAAATACATCAGAGAAAACAATTAAGTAAAATGGAGAAAATCTAAAAGTTATGTGGATACTGTGAAGAGGAAAAATATGTGCACAATAGGAATTCCAAAGGCGGAGAAAAAAAGTGTAGAAGTAACCTTTGAAGTTTAATTGGCAGAAAAATGGCTTACTATCAGGAAAGAAAACAAGGTTTACACTCAAGAAGCTCACTTAAGCCAATACAGCATAGAGTTTATAGTGAAGGGAAACTATTTGATATGGTTCTTCTATCTGTAATCAGTTTAACTCCCACCAAATGATTGACTGGGACCATGCAAATAAGGTCTAGAAGGCTCTAATTCAGGAAGTGGTCACTTTGCCATTCTTCTGGATTTAAAAGTGAACCATCTCAGGGGCAAGAACAGAGAAATACTCTGACTTCAAGAAAGAAGAGCTCCCAGCCGAGCATGTGTGAGATCTTTGGCTGACGTGGCTAAGGCATTTGGGGTACCAGAGGCCACAGCACCAGGATCATAAAAGAGAGCAGGGCATTTCCCAACCCACGGACTAAGCGAAGTTGAGAGAGTTCCAGTAGTAGGCTCGCTTACAGAGCTGGTGGCCTTTAGGTGACTGTCAGTGCTAAAGGAGATTTGTAATCCTTGCCCAAGTAGGGCAGAGACTGAGGGGGGTTCATGTGGTTTAGAGACTGAAGACCAGAGAGAGGAGTGGTTATCAGCACATCTAAGAAAAGACACTACTGCAGGCAAAAGGGCTATGTCCTAATTGTTTTCTGAGGCTGACTTGTGAGAACCTTAATAAACTTGTTAACTTCCTTCGTAAACCTCCATATTCTTGTGCGCTGTCTATGAGTGCTGTGTGGCCACTGCCATACATGATCAAGCCCAGCAGAGCAGTAGACTGCAGGGGGAGGACGGGTGGTGTGAAGACACGATAAAGAGGGTGGAGGCATGTGTGATGGAGTGAGATGTCTTAATGTGGCTCTTCTACCCAAGCTTTGAAACTACTACCAAAGGAGTAGGTAGGACTATGCAAATAGGATGTGTATCATACTAATAGAGGGGATTAGCCAGTTTCCATTACCACCACCCTGGCTATAAAGATGAGCCACCTCTGAAACAGTAGCAGACAGAGGAATCTCCTGAAATGGCACAAGCCACCAAGACCAAATGCATCAGGGACTATGACATGGAGACTCAGAAGAGACGCACCAAGATGATAAGGTACCTTCTCCTCTTTGGCCCGAGAATATGGAATTGTGGGACAGGACAACAGGCAGACTAGATTCCATGGAGGCAAAGACCAAGGGGTCATGAGAGACTTCGAACTGGAGAGAGATTTACCTACCAGGTGGAGAAGAGGCTGAGAACTGGAGGGAGACTTGGCTGAAGAGACCAATGAATATGCATATACTTCCTGTTTGCTGGGCCTGACTTGTGGTATCCTATTAACTTCCCTAATAAACACCGTTCATGTGAGTATTGTCTGTGAGTTTCATGTGGGCATCGGAATGGATTATCAAGCCCAGGATATAGAGGAGGCATAGGAGGAAAATTTGTCATCAGAGTAGGTAAAGAAGGATGGGCCATTGCTATTTAGCACAACATGTATGACTTTTGCCACATAGGAATCATCACTGGGCAGATGTGGAGGTTTTTGTTCTTCCTACCGTGAAGCTATAGGAAGTTTGACATGGACCCCACACCATTTCTTTAGACCCCAAAGAAAGTCCCTAAGATAAATTATCATAAGACTATAAATCCAAAGGCAAAAAAATAATTCTGAGAACAGTTCATTAAAAATGAATGAACACACACACAAATTTAAAAAATTTAAAAAATTAAAATGAATGAACACTTATTAAGTGGCAACAATAAGAATAAATAGTGATTTCTTAGTAAAACAAAATCACAAAAGTTGTAAGGCAATAGGATGACAGTCATAAAACTAAAATAAAATAATTGTCCAACAGAATCATATGTCCAGAAAACATGTTTCTCAAGTACAATGGTGAAACTACAACATGGCTAGATAAACAGATCTTATGAGAGTTTGTAAAAGAACTGTAGACAGTCCTCACAGAGACATTAAAAGGAACCCAGGAGACAAAGAACCTATGACATTGGACAACAACCTAAGATTCTGGCACATCATCACATCACCCAGATCAATATCGGTAAGAATATGGAGCAATTGGTACAAAAATATGTTTTGTTAAAGAAGGACATTTACTGTGTAAAGTCTTACCTAAACGTAATAATCTATTATTAAAGATAAAAAAGAACAAATAAACTATTATTCATCTCTGCTTACAGGTATTTGGTATTTGCTAAAGTACTAGCTGAGTCTTGCTGGCACTGTGGGTTAGGCTTTGGGCTGCCAGGTAAAAGGCTGGTGATTTAAATGCCCCAGCCGTCCACAGGGCATGAGGCGGTCTGCTCTTGGGGAAATATAGCTGCGGAAACCCTATAGAGGGGCACTACGAGTAGAAATCTATGGCAGTAGCTATAGGACTAGCTAGACATTACAGTAGACATTTTAGTAACTGATAAGACTAAAACGCGATAGTTTTGTTTCCTGCAGTGTTCCCTGAAAGGATATGAGAAAGCAACAATTGCTCTTTGAAAGTTTAGAACAACTGTGCTTTATTTTATTTCCCCCGCCATCTAGTAGATGCTGAACCATGGCAAGCCCCTGAGAGTCGGAGTAGAACCGAGCTCTGTAACATGCTTACGTCCAGGGGTTTGTGGAAGGAGATTTCTAGGTCGTTCCTCCCAAGTGTTCTGGGTGGACTCCAACTGCCCACTTCGCCAACAGCAGCCAAGCACATTAGTCATCTGCATCACTCGGAGACTTCTATTTATTTTGAGTCATAAGATTATTCTTTGTGAGTCCTTAGTAGGGTCATTATTCATCCCCTCTGCTTGCATGCCGTGAGGCCATAGGAGAAGCCTGTCTGAATATGAAGTCAGTGTGTGGGGAAAACAATGCGCTGTTCAAATGCTATGAGAGCACAGGAGTCATTGAAAGTGTGTCTATCTGTTAGTTTAACATTCAAACACTAATGTTATCTTTGGCATTAGTAAAGTAAATTCATTTTTCAAAAAAAATTCAACCATAAAATTTGCCTTTCTATGGTATCAACTCATATACATTTAATTACTTTTATGAATCAGCTTTTCAAGGATTTAGTGTTTTACCCGTTCGCTGTACAGAACCTGTAGATAGACTTCATAAAGTTTTAAAATGCCTCTGTTCTGTTGTCCAATGTATAACTGAACTACTGCCTTTGACATTGAATCATTTGATTAGGGCAGAAGGAAAAGACACCAGCTATTGATAAATGAATCGAATCAACTATCCATAAATCATCTGACCTTCTTAAAATTTGTGTTTAGGTCCGTCAGACTGAGGAGGAAGATGTGGTCCTTGGCACCCAGGAGCAGCCTGCCCCTCTCCTCATCTAAGAGCAGCGTCTGGAAATCCAGTCCCTCCGCGGAGCCCAGGAAGGGAATGCAGCTATTTGAAAGCAGCAAGTCTACGGGAAAGGAAGAGAGAAAAACACTTTAATGAGGTAAATATTTACTTGGCTCAATACACATACTGTCCCATTTGTTAAATACAAGTATGCAGCATGGAAGTTCCAATTTAGAAATATGAGAAAATATATACGGTTCTTACCATATACTCATTTAAAAACAGATGCAATTTATTATATTTGCATGTTGTTGAAGAAGTACTTATTTAACATATAAAAATACAGGATCTTAAAGCAAACAGATAGCATGCAGATATAAAAACTATCAAATGCGAACTATTTTACCACCCTGTCATAGTAGATGGCTACATTGTTTTGCTGCATATCCCAAGGTCAGCATTTCAAAACCACTGGGCACTCTGTGGGGGAAAGACAAAGTTTTCTGTTCCTGTAAAGAGCTACACTCTCAGAAATCCACAGGTGTAGTTCTACTATATCTTATAACGAACACACAGGCGTCGTTCTACGAACACACAGGCGTCGTTCTACTATGTCTTTCAACGAACACACAGGCGTCGTTCTACTATGTCTTATAACGAACGCACAGGCGTCGTTCTACTACGTCTTATAGGATTGCTACGAGTCCGCATAGACCCAATGGCGGTGAGTTTGTTTGTTTTCTTGGTGAGTAATTCAGCGTGTATATAATAAGCCCTGGTGATGTAGTAGTTACGTGTTGGGATGTGACGTGCATGGTCAGCAGTTCAAAACCACCAGCAGCTGGGCTTTCTATAGTTGGGGAAACCCTCAGGGCGTCACAAAGGGTCAGCATTGTCTCAATGACAATGAGACCTATAGTAACATTTGCAAACTGATGAAATTAATATATTTAAAGTAACTATCACACGTGAGTGGAAAATCTCAGAAGATTTTGTTGTTGTTGTTATTCTTTCTTGCTCACTCCCATTGATAGTGTTTAGATTGATCCCTGTGCTTGGAAGATCTCACTATTCTTATTTCATATGCACCAGGAGATAAGGCAAGAAAAGAAAATACATCCAAACAATAAATGATGAAAAGAGATATGACTTCTGACCCAGAAATCAGATCAGAATTTTAAAACCTGGAAAGACCTTAAAATCAATTAATATCTATTCACAATTTTATATAAATAAAGGTATTTTATCTTAGGGAGGTGAAGCTACATGGTCTAAATCCCAAAACTCTATGGTAGCAATGCTGACCACAAAGACTACATTTCTATTTCCATTGATCTCCTTGAAACATCTGGAGATCCTAATTCGCTGCCTCATTTTAATTGCTGTATGGACAAAATCATATCTAAATATAACTCTTCAATAGAGTTTACCATAGACATTTACCATCTCCTCATTTCCTCATAACCCTAGAGTATTAAATAGAAATATGAGTCAGAATTGACTGATGGCAGCGAGTGTGTTTTTATTTTCATCATTCATCACTTAGATAACGTCAGGAGATGTTGCTGTTGGGTGGCCTCACACTCACCCTTAGTCACATCTAGATCTGAGACCGAGGAGAACGCCCGGCAGGATGGCCTCGGCTGGAATCCTGACACAAGCACAGCTCCACGGCTCGCTCCTGGGGAGCTCACGGCGGAGGGCAACTGCTGATCTTTGGGGTCATCATCAATGTCTTAACCACAGTGCCACCCGGGCTCCTGACATTATACTGGACCTTAAAATCCAGCAACTATTTTAAAGCAACTCGTTATTCATTTGGGAAAAAAATTAAAAAGAGACTGTCTCAAAGACAGACTTCAAGATACTTGACACAGCCATTTTAAAAATCACATTTTAACCTCTATAAAATAGAAGTCTATGTGTCTTTGGGTAAAAGGGTATGCATGCCAAACATCAACTGTGGATTTTATTATTTCATATTCTTTAGCATTCCTTTCCATCTTTTTCTAATTTACAATGGATAAGTGAGATTTTCCCTGGTCACTAAGCTAGATTTCTGCCTTAGTTTTGACAATTAGAGATAGTATGCTGAAAAAGGTCTGATATAATTTTAATTCTCAAGTGAACTTGTTTTTAGCCACCATAAATATATTACTCATATTTAAGGATCCTACTGTGTGTACACTGGATAGAAGTCTAAACTTTGCACCAATTGTTTTTCTATTATGCCACATATAGCTTTAATCTTTTCAGACCAGAGATACTGTGACCATAATTTTAGTAGTTCCGAAAGGGCAGTGAGGCAATTTTTGCAGGGTCAATAGCCGATAAACATTCCAAACTGATCCCGATCCTAAAAAGAACTGAGGAAAGAAGGATGGAACAGATACACTGTACTAAATACATATATATATTTATGATATAAAACTTTAACAACAGCATACGTTTGACACAGCCCCTCATTCAATCAGCCAAATCTGCACTTCCCATGGGAGTTCCCTGGCTTAACAAATAAAAATGAAATGGGTAAGATGGAAAGTATGTGAGGGGATTCCCAGGGGTGTATCTTGAGCCAAATTAAATCCTGATTATTTCATATCAAGTGTCTACAGATAACAGTCAACGGTGTAGAGCCATGTACTGCAGTGATACTTACAAAGTGAAGCATGCTCAGCGTAAGTTAGAGAAAGACTTGGGTTACAGCAGAGCCTCACGACTCCCTGGTGGTGGGATCTAGACAACTCACTCAGTAGATCTATGTCTAGCTTGTCTCGTCTCTAATGAGACTAACAGTAGAAACCATGGCAGAAGCCATGGCGTAAGGATTAAATCAGTTAATATATAATTGACATTAGAACAGTGGCGGGCCATTAGTAGGCCACTGGAGATCCCCTTGCAGAGGGGTCTCGGGGAGGAGACGAGCCAGTCAGGGTGCGATGTAACAATGATGAAAAATACAACTTTCCTCTAGTTCTTAAATGTTTCCTACCCGCTCCCACTACCATGACTCGAATTCGACCTTGCAAGTCTGGCTAGACCAGAGGATGTTGGGTACAGATAGGACTGAAAAAACAGGGAATCCAGGGCGGATGAGCCCTACAGGACCAGTGGTGTGAGTGGCGATACAGGGAGGGTAGAGGGAGAGTGGGTAGGAAAGAGGGAACCGATTGCAGGGAACTATATGTGACCTCCTCCCTGGGGGACGTACAACAGAAAAGTGAGTGAAGGGAGACGTTGGACAGGGAAAGATATGACAAAATACCCATTTATAAACTATCAAGGGCTCATGAGGGAGAGGGGAGCGGGGAGGGAGGGGAAAAATGAGGACCTAATGCTGGGGGTTTAAGTGGAGAGGAAATGTTTTGAGAATGATGAGGGCAATGAATGTACAAATGCGCTTTACACAATTGATGTGTGTATGGATTGTGATAAGAGTTGTATGTGCCCCTAATAAAATGATTTTTTAAAAAAAGAACAGTGGCTGGAACAAAGTGAGTTTTTATAATTATTAATGATAATAAAGCTGACATATCTGAAATTTTATATATAATCTATTAAAAACATAGCATTTTCTAACTCATTTAATTCTCATCATAATTAAAGGAGGTAAGTTGTATGTTGTTCTATGAACAATACCTGATTAAAAATGTTTAATAAATATTAACTATTATTTTGATTACTAGTAATAAACTTCAGTTTAAGTCAAATAAGTTCCACTGAAGAAGAATACCATCACATATTCCAACAAACTATATTGGTGACTAGATTATTTCCATTTTTAAAAATATTGAAATGATATTTTAAAACTATTCATTCCAGAAATATTTATAAGTATATATGTATATATGTGAGTAGGCCTCAAAATTTGTGGAGTTATGTAACTAAACAGAATGGAATTTTTCTACAAACTTTTGAGAATATATACCTCAAGAAATGGAAAGAAATTCTAATAAATTATACACAAAATCTTAACAATGATTCAAATAATTACTTGTGCAGCCTCCTCTCAAGGAAAGCGTTGGTGAACAGGCTTGCGGGATCAGTAGAAGTTGGGCAGGGATGAAAGGAAAGTGTAGCTCAGGCAGAAAGAGACCGAGATGAACATGAGTATATATCTCACCCCACACTACACTTATTTATACCTATCTACCACATGCTTTCTAGAGTGCGAGGGTGTCTTCGAAGCAAAAGCAATGTCCTACTTATCTTTGAATCCTACTGTTTAGCTCAGAGACCGACACAAAAGAAGTACTGGATAAATATTTGTGGAAATGAAGTCATTCCGTGTGACTGGGACTTAGAGACTATGTGAGAAATGACGCTGGAAGAAAGGTAGTGTCCACAGAGCTAGGGAGGGGCTCCCATGGCAGGCTGGGGAGGGGTCTTGATACCTGGGACTGGCAGGGACAACATATTGTATGCAGGGAAGTGACAGAGACTACAGGGCGTGTTACAAAGATCAGTCTGGCTGCAATGTGGAGCATGGTGCGAACGGAGAATGTGAAGGCAGTGAGCCTCCCCAGAAGTCTGAAAGACAGTAAGACCCTTTCTTTTTTTTTTTTTTTTCTTTTTTTAACATTTTATTAGGGGCTCATACAACTGTTATCCCAATCCATACACACATCAATTGTGTAAAGCGCATTTGTACATCATTCTCAAAACATTTTCTCTCTACTTAAACCCCCAGCATTAGGTCCTCATTTTCCCCTCCCTCCCCGCTGCCCCCTCCCTCATGAGCCCTCGATAGTTTATAAATGGGTTTTTTGTCATATCTTGCCCTGTCCGACGTCTCCCCTCACCCACCTCTCGGCTGTCTGTCCCCCAGGGAGGAGGTCACACACATTTCCATGTAATCGGTTCCCTCTTTCCTACCCATTCTCCCTTTACCCTCCTTGTTTTGCCACTCACACCACTGGTCCTATAGGGCTCATCCATCCTGGATTCCCTGTATTTTCAGTTCCTATCTGTACCAGTGTACCTCTTTGGTCTAGCCAGACTTGCAAGATCGAATTCGAGTCATGGTAGTGGGAGCGGGGAGGAAACATTTAGGAACTAGAGGAAAGTTGTATTTCTCATCATTGTTACATCGCACCCTGACTGGCTCATCTCCTCCCCGAG